ATATATATATATATATATATATATATATATATATGTATATATATATATATATATATATATATATATATATATATATATATAAATATATATTATTTATAAAATATATATATATATATATATATGTAAATATATATTATATATTTATATATATATAAATATATAAAATATATATAAATATATATTTTATATATTTATATATATATATGTATATATATATATATATATATATATATATATATATATATATATATATATATATATATATATATATATATATATATATATATATATTTATATATGTATATATATATATATATATATATATATATATATATATATATATATATATATATAAATATATAAAATATATATATATATAAATATATATATGTATATATATATATATATATATATATATATATATATATATATATATATGTATATATATATATATATATATATATATATATATATATATATATATATATATATATATATATATATATATATATATATATATTATAATATATATATATATTATAAGCATATAACCCTGATATGTAACTTGGCCCACGCTTGTATGAATAAAAGCATGCAACACATTTTTAAAATGTTTTTATTTACTCTAATACTTTTATTTATCCTGTTATTATATGGTGTGAGAATTAATATCATATTTTACTCTTTTATTTGCAGTAAGTATTAAGCCCATGCAGTTAGAACTAAGACCTAAGTTATTATTTCAAAAAAAGTTTTTGTTTTTCTCAAAGTTAAAAACTTAAAGTTAATTAATACCACTTTACTCTATGCCCAAACTCAACAAACTTGTTTTCACATATTTTGGAACAGGCAATTGAGCATATTTATCCTGAAATAACTTATATTGATTCTTAACTAATTTTTATAGAATTTTTATAGGATTCATTTCGAAGTAGTGTGATACACATTTCGAAGCAGTGAAATTAAGCAATATTAACAATGTTAAGCAAAATTATGAATACTTATAAACAATATTATGAATACTTATAAACATATATTAAATATTTGTTATATTCAATACTGTTACAGTAGAATCCCGTTAATTCAGACTCTGAAGGGGTATATGTATTTTGAACGACTAAACGAATGTTCGAATTAAGCAAAGCTTTCGTTATGTCGGACTTTCTGAAAATATCCAACTTACCGAGATTTTGAGACTTATTGATCGAGAATGACACAGGGATGTTTTGTTGTCTCGCGTTTAAAAGCCACATGTAACATGTTTTATCCAAACTCTCAATTAGGGAAACTTGCATCCTCACTCTTTTCGCAGAAATTTTATTTTATTCAACTTCTGAATATATTATGTGTTTTTCTTTTGATCATTTTTGTCCTTTGTCAAATTTATAGTATTATGTATTTTTATGCTATAGTTCTACTTGTTAGCCGAAAGTTCAAAAGTTAACCCAATCGAAGACATCACTAAAATTGTTTAGTTTGTTAACCTATATTTGACGCAAAAGTATTTAACTTTTGAACGTTCTAAGTTTTGAACTTTAATTGGTGTTTTTTAATTTTAATATAATATTAATTAATAAATAGCACTTAATCAAAGTTTATCCGAATCGAATATATCAGTGAAAATGGTTATTCATGTTTAATTATATTTGACGCAAAGATTTTTTTTTTTTCGAGCGTTCAAAGTTTGCAATTTTTATTGAAGTATTGAAAGTTTTGGTAATGTAGGCACTTATATGCAATTCAAAATAAAAGTCCTAGCTTAATGAAATTTTTGCCGAAGGGACACCAAAAAACAGTACGAGTTAGCGAATGGTCCGACTTAACCAATGTACGACTTAAGCATGTGATTTTATAGAAAATTGATAGATAAAGTTCAAGGTGAATTGAAAATTTGTCCAATTTAGCAGAAGCGCGACTTATCCAGGGTCCGAGTTAACGGGATTATACTGTATAAGCAATATTGTTATAAACATTTTTTATATTCTTTAAAATCAAGAAAATTCTTATTTGCATTTTTAAAGTCAAGCTTTTTAAAGTTAACGATATTCTTTCTCTTTTAATATCTTTTTTTTCAGTACTTCTCTATATAAATAGTATTGTGTGTCGGTTTGCTGAGCATGAAGTTGTATTTTAAAAAATATACGAAAACTAGTAGAAAAAGTAGCGCTTGCAATTAGCGTCAGCAAAATGTTTGTTGTTATTTATACTTCAAGTCAAAAAAAAAGTTAAAAATTAAGAAATTCAATATTAAAGAATTTAAGAATAATAGTCTCAGATAAGATTTTTTCTTTACTATTTTTTATTTTTTTTGTTATTTTATTTTTTTTTATTTTTCTTTACTTTTTTTACTACTTTTGTTTCTCAAATAACATAAAAAAAAAACGGATTAGAATTTGTTTACCAAGATCAAGAAGTTCAAAGTATCAAAAAAGATCAACTGACAAGTGTATGGCATTAACTCATGTTAGATTTTATAATTCAATTACCAATCAGTTGAAACCAAGGAAACCGCAATGTACGGATACACCCGTTGCTTTGGAGGGACGCCAGAATCATGGGGGCGGCAGCTGTACTAAATTGATAAATTTTTATTTTATTTTTTTAAAAGTACTATATCTGTGTAGGTTTTTTATATTTTAGGTCAAAAACGAGAACAACAAATTGTTATCCAAACGTTGCAAATTAAACGTTGCCACACAAAAAATAATAATCAAAAATGTCATTTATTATAATTTTGATAACAGTCTTTGCCAAGATGAAACAATTTTTGAATGATAACTTTTTTGTGTGTCCTTTTATAAAAAATTGCACCTGTTGAGCTATAAAAGGTTTGGCATCCCTCATTGAAACAAATTCTATAAAAGTATAATGATAAAAAAAAAACATTGGTATTAAGTTTATTAATATAATAAAAAAAAAGTTTAAATTAAGCAGGTTTGCCATATAAAGAATATAATAAAACTAAATATTAATAAGTAATAATAAATAATAGCAAGTATTATAAATTATTAATAAGTATTAATAAATATTAACAAATAATAATAAATAATAATAAATGGTAATAAATATTAATATGTATTAATAAGTATTATGTAAATATTATTACATTAATATACCATAAATAAAAGTATTTGACAAACAAATTTAAATAGTTATGTATTTGTTTACTCTTTTTAACAATATGAATAATAAGAACAAATAAATATAGATAAACTTCAAAAACTACCTCGATATTAGACAACAGTGTGCTATTTTACACTAAAATATCTGCTCAAATCTAGTAGAAAATAGATGTGGTGTACCCCAATATTCTGTTTTGGTTCCCATTTTGCTTCTAACTTATATAAACGACCTTTCTATTACTTAATATAGCTTTAAAGCTGTTAAATGTTTGCAGATGAAACAAACTTATTCTACTTCGCAACGACAATCAAAAACCTCTTTAAAAGAAAAACATTGAGCTAAAAAACTAAATATATGGTTTAAAACGAATAAATTATGACTAAATATAGCAAAGCTAAAAACATACTATTCCCTTCAGTCAACAACAAAAAAAATACCCTAATTCTGCTAACAATTAATATAGGTAATTATTAAAATAGCTACCACTACCACCAAATACCAAGTTTTTAGGTGTTTAAATTGATTAGAATATTGCCTGGAAAACCCAATTTTACTGGAAAAACTACCATTATAATAAATACACTATTATCAAAGAATGTAGGTGAAAGCCAAATCATTACTGTCGCAAAATAATCTAAAACTTTTCTATTTTTCTTTTATACATAGCTACCTTATTTACGCAAAATATAGCATGGGACTGTACTCACAAATTAAAGTTAAAACCATTATATTTACGTCAAAAGTATGCTTAAATAGTAATTAACAGCAAAGACAAATTTCCTCATGCTCAATATTTGTTGGATCAAATGAAAGCACTAAATACATTTCAAATAGATAATTACGAGAATATACTTTCGTATATATATATACATATATATAAAAAATTAAATTACAGAAAGTCGCAAATGATCAGATGAGTCTTTATTGATGAAACACAGTTTAAATGAAAAAAATTTTTGCTAAGTGATTTTCTACTACTTTATATATATATATATGTATATATATATATATATATATATATATATATATATATATATATATATATATATATATATATATATATATATATATATATATATATATATATATATATATTCAAAGTAGACTTGGTGTTAGTGGAAAAATAGTAGTTGAAACAAAAAATCTTTCAAGGTTCTTAATTTTATGTTGAGGTCTCTCTTTATACAACAAAATTTTGTCTAAAAACGAATCATTAATAAATTTGAATAATAAAATCTTTTTGAAAACAAAATTAAAATAGTCTAACTGTTAAATTAAGCGACTGTAATGAACTTTTTTTAAACTATTTTTATTCAAAACTAAAAATCTAAACAAAATCTAAAACCAAAACATAATTTAACGTTTGGAAGAAGAAAAATTGAAAACTAAACTAAATAAAGATTTTTTATGGAAAAATTTTATTGATTTGTATATGCATCAGTTACGAAGTGAATTGACTTGTTTGTGTTTACTACACGTCTAGCATTAAGGTACAGGATGAAATTACTAGTTTTAGTCTTCACATCATAGTATATGAGTAATTCCAATCTAACTTTTTTTTCTCTCTTTTAAAACTATTTTTGGTAGCAATGAAACCCTTCATAAGATGCAGATATTTGCTTTTTATATTTATAAACAGTTTTAATTGGAAGAATATAAAGATATATTTATCGGAGTATTAATATGTTTACATTATTCTATTGTCATAACTGATATCATATTATTACACTTATTTTATCTCGGAGTTGTATACGACTATTTCTTGGATATTTACTTTAAATATCCAAGAAATTGTCGTAAAAAAAAGTAAAAATTAGTATATTTTGGACTTTATGTTTAAGAAAAACAAAATCTTAATTAAACACAAACAAAAACAATAAAAAGTAGGTGTATTTATATTTAACAAGATTTAATAAAAGAAAAAAAAAATTGGTTGTTGTCAATATTTTTGTCATAACTTTTCATTACTTTTACCAGCCTGGACATGGTGGGGTACGTTTAAATCTACGTGACGGCTTTACTTCGTGAATATCTGCCAAAATCTTTAATACGTCTAATATTTTAAAATTTGAAAATTTAAAAAAAAATGCATTGAAGTAAAACGTTTTTAAAAGTTTTATGAAACAAGAGTTAAGGTAGCTACATACCCATTTCACTTTTCATTGAGCTTTCTAACTTGTAATGAAAATGAGTGTTTTCCAAACGTCCAAAAACTAGCATTGTCATAAATAGCATGATATTCAATATAAACAACTTCCACATTATGTAGAAAAAAAGTTTTGTTTTAATTTCTTATTTATTTATTTTTTGTGTGTGGAGTTTAACAAGATGCTATATTCAGAAAAAATTATTTTGATTAATGATAGAGACAACAACTAGAAAAGTTTATAAATTGTGTTTACAACACAATTTATTGTTGTAATATAGCCAATAATCACTGTTGCCTGGTAACTTTAACTTATTTTTTGGAATGTTGCTTTAGTTTTCCAAAATAGTTTGCGTAAAAAGTTAAAACGAAAATAATCAATTGAAGCTAAAAAAGTTGAAAAATAAATAACTTATTAAAGATCGAAATGTTAGTGGTTTAAAGAACGTATTTATAATTTATTTTTATATTAGGCAATTAAATATATTATTCCCAATTTTTACATAAATGTTTAACTTATTTAGCTACTTCTAGACAAACATTTTTTTATAACTTTCTTTGATTACTTACTTTCTTTGATTAATTACTTTGATTTGGGCTATTAAGATTAGGAAAATAAATTTTACATTTTTTAAATAGCTTTGCACATCGTTTCTTGAGAATGGAAATGTTATTTAAAAAAAAAGCACTTGGCTGTTGTATATAACTTAGATAAAATTTCAAATAACCATAAAATGTTGAAATAAAATAAAAAAACAAGTTAATATATCTATTGTAACTTATTTCATCAATAATATTTATGTTTCTTTATTTTACTTTTTACACATAAGAAATTCTTTAATAAATCTTAAAATTTGAAGCTAAGTTTTTGTGAAAACCAGGTCATATCGTAATTAGGTGCACCACTTAATATATAAGTTTGACTTTAACTAATATTTTACTGAATATTTAAAATTTTGATTAACTACATTTTTGTTGGGAATTGTTAAAAACAACACAAAAATTATTTATAGCTTTTTTTTTAAAAAAAATAAGTATTCTGAGAAAATATAAGCGTCATTACTGCTATCACAAAAATATTCTTACGTTTTTGAACATAATGTTTATAGATCTTTTTGTGTATGGAGTAATTAATGTATAATCGTTATTGCTTTCAACATATTTTTTGTACGTTGCAAATATTTTATTATACATTTCACATAGCTATTGTATTTTTTGGAAAACATTTTGTAATTCGTGTCAGTATGTGAACACTCCTTTATGTTGCGAAACTTGAGAATATACTTTTAAATATAATCAAAACCATAAAGACTTTGTATCTTTGAAAACATAGAAACTATGAAAAGATGTTGCAATATATTATTTCTTTATTACGCATAATATTTTTGAAGTTTAAAGTTTCTAGTCCTTAAAAAAGATTATGTTTGTAATAAAAGGATATTGAAAAACACACAAGATATCTGTTAAAAGTTGCATCATGTAACACCCTTACTAAACAAAATTTATAAAAAAAAAACTTGCATGTTGATACATTAGACTTGCTTTGTTAATATAAGGTAGCAAATTCGATGTTTGATAATTTTGTTATAATTTGTGCACTAATAATATAGGAAAAACACTTTTCTTTTAGCGAATAGTTAATTTTAAAATGATTTGAAGTTTTTTTCATTGTCATACAATCGGTTGTTGTTTTTTTAGCAGAATGAGCGTTTTATTTATATTTTGCTTTAAAACGATATTTTAAATGCAATTTTAACTAAAGTTCAGGCACTTTGGCACAGACTTTTTAAAACAAAGATCATCTTTTATATAATAATCAGCATTTATAATCCTTCTCACCATTATTAACCGTTCTCAACCTTTTAGTCAGTCCCATGTTTACTATTTCTGTATTATTTCTTTGCCTTAGATAGCGCCAGGTTTGACATATTTGATACTTAATAAACAGCTGACGTAAACCAATTTTCAAATTAATACTCCAATACTCAAAAGAGGAGTTTTAGAGAATCTTTACGCCTTCCAAAATATACGGGAAACAAACCTTGAACTTTGTATATACCAAGTTATAGAAATATTAGTCGATGGTACTTTGAAAAAGCATTTTGTCACAAGATATACTTGACTTATATTTTTCTTGTGTTCTTCATCTTTTAGTTAATAAACATGTATTTCCAACGGAATAAAGAAATTTAAATGTTTTAAAACAAAATATCAATTTTTTTTTTACATGTTTACAATCGTCTAAGTCAATCTTTACAACAAGACAATAATAAATAAATAAAAAAACAACAAAATAAACAAAACCGTAATGCTAAAACAAGCTAAGCAAGGTTTAATAATTCTTGGCGTTTTTATTTACAAACCAAGTTGACAAGCAAATCTTGAATATGTCAAAACATTGAATGTTATTTTAGTTTTACATGCAAACTCTATAAATAAGAAAAGTTGGTAATTGAAATCCATTTCTTGGATCAACTTTGTCTCCTTGTTAGCATTGGACTTAAAATGGAAACAGCGTTTTATTACTTTCTGCTGCTACTTACTGTAAAAGAAAACTGGGGACGATCAATTCCTGATCATGAAACAAAATGGGAAAAACAATATGCGATAGAAATAAAGTTAAATATATTAAAGCAGCTCCAAATGTTTGAAAGTCCAAAACAGAGCAATATTACTCAAATATATCCGCAGTCATTAAAAGAAAGATTATTTGATGACGAACAAGAAGAAGTAACTCAACTCATATTTTTAGCAAAAATAGGTAATGACGTTTTAATAGTTTTATAATTATTTTTGTGACGTTTAAAAAATCAAACACTTTTTTGATTTAAATAAAAACAGATTCACCTCAAGCGTGAAAGTCAAAAGTCATTAGTTATTAACTTTGTCTTGAACTCCCTTCACTTTTATCAAACTAGACAAAAGTTTTGCCTCAAAGGCATAAAAGGCTGTTTCCAAAAAAAATTTTAAACTAAGAGCTCTTTGAATTTCAAAATGGTTTCTGTTAAAGCCAAAAAATTCTAAGTATTTAACACTACTGTTTTATTCTTGAGTTTATTTTACAAATATTCTCATTGCATAAAAATTTGTTGATTTCATTAAAAATTTCACACATTCAACGTAAATAAATTGTATCTTCTAATGCTTAAAAAATTTTTAATAAAGTTTCCTTTCATAAGTAATCTTTATTTGTCAGAAGTAATTATGTAAATCGGCTCTCAAATAAATTAACATAAGCAACTTTTACTTGCGTGGAGTCTAACTTTCAAGTATCTATTATGTAAAAGATCAAGTTAGAATTTACTTTTTAGTGTTGGTTTCTTTTTTCAGCTTTTTTTATTCCAATCACTTATTATACTTTCTTTTAACTTTTTTAAAGTTATTAAATTGCTCTAAAAAAGCTAAATGGTTTTACCATGTTGCACCTAGGTGAAGTATTTAACGAGTAAGTCCACGGCGTCTTTCTAATCAATATAGCACTTAAATGGCCGGAATAGGCATAGAATATCCAGCCTCTTGATTTATGGCCGGCTTCTTAATTTTTGATCCGGTCTCTTGATTCTTATCCCATTTTTCCTTTAATTAAATGTTAAAAAATATTGAAAATTTTTTTTTGAATTAAAAATAAAATTATAAAACAAGTTAGCTGTTTATAAAAATAAAATGATATCTAAATATGTTTTATCTACTTTTACATATTCAAGCTTCTACTTGCTCATATATATTTATATAGATGCATGTTTTCATCTATATTTTTGTAGAATAAATTTTTTACTAATCATTTGATCAAACTTCAGCAATAGCAACAACAACAACAAAAAATGAAACTGTAATAAGTATTTCAGTAGGTAAAATTAATTTATAATAGGGGTCTTCCATAAAGTACATCCGCAGGAATGGGGAAGGGTGGCTACCTAAAAACGTACGGATTTGTACAAGTGAGTTACGATGCTTGAATCTCTCGATATCTATCAAATAGGTAACATAGATTTGTCGAATTAATTTAAAATTATCTTGTTTTCAATGTTTTAAAAAATTTATGCGTTGGGGAGGGGTTTATTTTGTAATAAATAATGCGTGCGTATGTAAAGAAGAGGGGTTGTTAAAAGCATGCAGTTACGTAAAAGAGGAAAGAGGAAATTCTTAATTAGTAATTTTACTGGGTGCGTACTTTGTGGATGACCCTTATTGAGAAATTTTTCATTACTTACTAATTTACTCTACTATCTTTTTATCTAAACTTTTTAGCGAGTTTTTTGCATACACTTTTTTTTGTTAGTACCTTTTCACCTTAATTCTTTCACTAGTATTTATTTACGTTTATTTTTATATATATACATATAGGTATAAAATACAATACACGCACTGTGTATTGTATTTTATACCTATACGTATATAAAATACACGCACTGTGTCAAAAATTTAGTACTAAAATGTCTAACGAAACCAATAATTCAATGGTTCAAAAATTCGGTGTGTTAGCGGTTCGGTTAGTACAAATGTGTTCGGTGGGTTAATTTTTTAATTTAATTTTCGTTTTATTGATTGTTCTATTTAAAATCTATAACATTTAATTCTTTTTTCTACGAAATATAACAAGCTTTTTGGGTATCATTTTGTTTAAGAAATCTTTTGTTTTAGAAAACAAAGATAAATTTATTCATGTAAAATAAAAGTAAAGGCAATATATATTTTATAAATTTGCTAAAAATTAAAACTGTTAACAAAGGATTAAACAAAAATTAGAATAATATTATTATTTCAAACAATTATTAAAGCAAATAAAACAGCAATTAAAACTGCAAAAGAACAAGACCGCCCTTAAAGTATAACGTTATGTTATTTATATAATCAAATGAAAGTATTTAGGAAAACGTTATTTACACTGATTAACAACGTACGCGACTGAGAGTAAACAGATGGTTTTGAAAAGATATTACTTGTTTTTAATTAAAAATTTTATATAAAGAAGTAATCCTTTAATAATCCTTTCACTTTTTATTATAACTTGTATAGAGTTGACATAAAAAACAGAAGCATAGCATAGATACATATTTAACAGCATTATAAAAAATATTTATTCGTTTGTTTAAAGATATAAAGGCTTAACAATTTCCGCTAATATACATTTTTATAAGAAATTATAATATTACAAAAGATTAAGCTATCATTGTTTTCCCCGCCCTCACTCTAGCCAGTATGTAATTAAATTCAAAAACAAATATTGATCTCACATGAAAGACATACGTACAGAAATGGCTGTGTTTTATATCAATCATAAAAAGTCAGTTAGTAGATCGCACTGTGTCAAAAATAACTTTCCACATTAAAACGTTTGAATATGCTTTTCTTATTTAAAAAAATCTTTAATAAAATAATTTAAAATAATTAATAAAAAATTATCAACGCATCTTATCTAACACTCTCCACCTCACACCCCACCCTGCCCCCATACCTCCAATATACCGATTTAATATATTTGTTTAAAATATCAAACAAGAAATTTATGAACCAAAAAATCGCCAATAAAATTGCGCTGCAAAAAATGAATATAAAATAACTGTTTTGGAATCAAAAATATGTATCATAATATTACTACTTTCACAGTGAATATCCCTTTTTTTTTTTACTGTGTAGTTTAGTATTTTAGTTGTGTAGTATTTTATATATTATATATCATACCAAATATTTTCATTTTTGACACAATCGACCCGGATTTTTTACTTAATCACAATGACACACATGAATATACACGTACACACATACACACACACACACACACACACACACACACACACACACACGCACACAAAGTTTGATCCCCACCACGTCCCTGTTAGTACTGCGCTCAACTTATTTCTCACCGCAGCAGCCTTATTGCTACATAAATTTTCAAAAAATTAGTTTTGAAAAAGTAATTCTTTAGAAAAATTTTAGTTTAGTCATTTGTTTTTATAATTTTTTAAAAGGTATCTATTTTAATGCCTACATTTAGAAATTAATTCAGATTTTTTGCTTGTAAATTTTCTGGATCCATATGGGCAGGGCCGGCGCGAGTAGGTGTCACGTGGGGGAGGGGGAGTGCCATTACAACTATTGCTGACTAAAAAAAAAAAAGGTCCTCGTTTTCCAAAATTTGCCGACTACCTTGACGACATTTGCCGACTGTCTAGATTACCGACTAACCTGTATCGAAAGGGTCGACATTTGCCGACTAACTAGTCTAAAGGGTCCAATTTGCCGACTAAGAGTCCGATTTGCCGACTAAAAATCATTGATGAGGGGGGTGTCACACACAAAAACACATCCCTATCGCGCCGGCCTTGCATATGGGTAATAAATTCAATTTTTTTTTTTGCAAATATAGCATACATTTTTTAGAAATATTATTTTCAAAAATATATATGTTTTTAGAATAGACTAGTGTAATTTAAAATTAAGATATATTTTTTTTTAATTGCCAAATATATTTTTATTTAAGATCAACAATACCCGTCTCCACAGATTACCGTTATCGAAGAACATAGTCCTATCGAACCGGATTCTATAATAACATTAGCTAAAATGTCAGTTTTTATAACACCAACCATAGGAGATTCAGACTTCTTTCCTATTTTAATAAAAGAAAATAACATTTTAATATCAAGTGTATCTATATCAAAAGAGCATGTTGGCTGGATTGACATTGATATTACTGTAGCATTTCAAAAGTGGGCTAAATACCCTAAAAACGGTTTAAAATCGCTTTCTTTGTTTTGCAGTAGTTGTAACAACCAGCATATTAATATATCCAGTGAAAAGCAACACACTCCTTATTTTCTTGTACATGTCATAAAAAGAAAATTACCACGGCAACGAAGAAACTTCTGGACGTGCAACGAAGATGCCAGTTGCTGTTCGCGTCCTTTTTATGTCAGTTTTCAAGATTTAAAATGGAATTGGGTGCTGTCACCAAAAGGATTTTGGACAAATAAATGTATGGGTAAATGTAAGGATGGAAATTTAAATAACAGTGGTTGTTGTGCTCCAAAATCATTTGGTTCAATAACAATGTTTTATCACAACGGTGATTATATTTTGTATGGTAAAAAAATTGAAAATATCGTAACAAAGGACTGCGGCTGTCTTTAATAAAATGAAATAACAATGATGATAAACAAGATGTTTTTAAAGATTCATATTTTGACAAATACTATATCCATATACACATCGATTATACGCTTGCATTCACACATCCATTAAAAAGTTGCATCTTAAAGAAAGTAGATTTCAAAAGTTCTGAATAAATGTTTTATTTGAACTATAAATATATTTATAAATGTAAGCATTAATAATTTATCTTTACAAAGAATATGATTTTTACTTTATTTGGTAAGTGTAAAACTAATATTAGCAAAGAATGACATGACTAATTTCAATACAATTACTTTTTAGTATGGTTCTCTCCAACATAGTTACTTTTTAATAAGGCTACTTTCTATATAATACTAAAATTATTAATTTTAAATTTGAATCTTTTGTTGAATATTAATACATTCAAGTTATGTTTTTAGAACAAGTGCATCAAGAAATAGTAAACTTTATCCAGAGCTTAAAACTTGCAATAGAAAAAGCCAGTGTAGATTGTTATTGATTTTGTATATAGTTTAGACTTTAGAATAAAGTAAAAAAATATAAGTTGAAAGCGTTTTTAAAAAATAAAGTTTAAATAATCTGCGATTTGAAACTGACAAACTTTAATGTAATTAATTAATAAATGCACTCAAGCATTGTTAATAATGTTTTATCGAGTTAATTATTATTCTATCCTATAACATTTTAATACTGAACTTAATGCTGGTGCTGTGGCTGCCGTTACTTATTCGTGAGTGTTTGATACGGAAAACTTGGCAGCCATTACATCCGAGTTAATGGTAAGAAAGCGTCGAAGTACTTTTTGTATCAGAAAATGTGAGCGAAAGTGTGTGCAAATATCTAACTTATGTAAACTTCAAATTACCTAATGGTAATAACATATATCAATTTTTTCAGTTTTACTTTTAGTTTGAAGTTGAATTGCGGCACTTTTTCCTTAATTTTGATTGATGCCACTTATTTGCCGTTATATAAAGTCTTTTGTTTTTAAATAGTTTTAAAACTTTCATTAAACATTACGCCTTAGTGGCCGAAGTGGTTAGCTTGATGCTCTTCTGAATTACAATGTGAAGGTTTAAATCGTATTGCTGGCTATACTCTATATTCCATAGTTTCAATGTGAAGCTTCAAATCGTATTATTTTTTTAAAATCATTCCCAGTTTTCTAAAATACAACTTAAAACATTTTTAAAGTTCTTTTGTTGATATTTAAAAATATAATATGCAATAACAAACAAAAAGGAAAGAGTTTTTAAAAAGCTTAAAATTACAGGAAATATCAAAACAGCAGTAGAAATTTTTCGCGTATACGTTTAATAATAGAGAAACTTAAGTTATTAATGTGCTTAGGTTATTAGTTAAATCTACGCAATCAACACACATTTCAGAGAGCAAAAATTTTTTTTATAGGAAAAAGATTTACGATTCAAACTTTTATTATTTTTAATATTAAAAAACGGAGCGAGGTTCCTAAAAAGCTGATGGATGGTATGTCCCCGTTCTTTTTAAGCCTGTACCCATTTTTTTTATTAAAGTTTACAGTTTTGCAATAAGAAAATATAAAGTATTGAACATTATTTGTTAATTCAAAACAAAGATTTGACAGACTTTTTTTTTCTACCCCTAAATAGCGGTTCGCGCAACAACTATCGAAGCGTTTAAAAAAAAATTTCAAAGTTGTTTTATAAATTATTTTTTTATTCATAATTTTAGAAGGTAGAAAGGTTTTCTACCGTTTACTAAAAAATATTTCACTGGTCCGGAATGCAAATTATTAATTTATAAGATTTACAAATTGGATTTGGATAAGCATGAATGCCTGTCAACCTGTCATACAAATATATTATGTATGTGGCATATTTTCTAATCTTTAATCATAAATTATTATTTCTTTTTTTAGATAATTGTCTAGTTTGTTTTTAAAACAAACTAGACAATTATCTAAAAAAAAATGTCTAGTTTGCTCAAGGATGACGCGTTTACAACGTTATTTGGGAGGGAGTTTCATTTGTTGACAACTCGTAAAGTTAAATTTTTTCGACGAAAAGCCAGATGGTAATAAGGTTTTTCTAGTTTAAATTAATGTCCTCTTGTAATAGATTTTATAATTGTTTTTGGAAAGATCTTTTGACAGTTATTGCAGTTAAGCCTAAGACAGTTAAACTTATGCAGTTAAACCTAAACCTAACCATTTATTGACGTTTATTAAATCTACTCGGATTAGTCTGTATCTCATGGTTGCCATATTAATTTTTAATAATCTTTGGTGATATGTAAGATTGTGTAATCCATGAACTAATTTAGATGCTCTTCTGAATATATTTTCAACTTGTTGTTTATCTTTAAGTAGACGAGGGTAAAATATATATCTACAATATTTTAAATATATTTAAACTAGTGCTGAAAATAGTCTTCTAAAACAAAATAAATCTAGATAAGAAAAAGATTTTTATATTAGAAATAGCATTTGCATTGCTTTATTAACTTGTATGGAGGTATGTTTGAATAGTAAGTTATTACCAATATGTTTTCTGAGGTCAGTTTCTGAGTAAGTAGTTTTGATATCAACTTTTATTTTCTTCACTGGATTGTACATAGTATAGATATGATGTTTGCTTTTGTAGTCTAGATGTAGAACTGAACATTTTTTTTGCATTAAATTTCATCCACCATTTAGTTGCCCAGTCAACCAAGATATTAATATTATTTTTTAAATACGGTGTGTGAATGCATGATATTAAGAAGGTAAAACATTTTTGTATCGTCTGTAATAAGTGCTGCATTAACGTACCGTAGAACGGGATGACTTTGATACGCGAGGTGACTTTGATAATTTCGTCTGTTAGTTACAAAAATAATGATTTGAATGTGAAATTGCACAATTAGAGACTATTTTTTTTTTTATTCTTGTACATAATTATATTCTGCTAATATTTTTGAAATTTTAATGATTGTGAAGTGATTCTAAATTGTACAAATGTGTTAGGAATAACATGACTATAACAAAAAAATAACGATTTTTACACGTACCAAAAAATGCCAAAAAATCTTGTGATTTTAATTTTTTTGAAATTTTTTTTTTCTAAAAATCTATACTTAGATGTTTAAGTGGTATTTTCCAGTTATAATACCACTGGAATATACCACTCGTTTTTGGTTACTCTCAATCACATTTGCAGAAAAATCAGTGTAAATCAGGGTAAATCAGTACTTAATATTTATATGCAATTAGTATTATTATTTTGTTAGTGTTATTTTATAACTGCTAATTACTTTAACAATGTTATTGATATATTATTTTTCTGTGTTTAGCATATTAACATCAAATTTATTTTTGTTTTTTCTTTGTCCATTCTGTAGATATATTCGATAACCAAACTTGTTGTCTAAATTTATAATTTTACCAGTAAATCTTATAAGTTTATTAATATGTTGGGTTCTAATTTAGTAAAAGTCAAAAAGAAAGTATTAGCGACACTGTAAAGAGGGTTAAATCAATAAGCCATTAAAAAATAATAGACTATCAAAGTCACCCCAAACGACGGGGTGAGATTGATAACATTTTGGATTAAAAATATATATATTAAGACAAAAAAAAATTAAAAATATTTAATGGAATTATATAAAGGAAAGGTATAATGTTATAACGGGAAAAAAAAAATCAGAAAAAATTGTAATGAACCAGATTTATTTTGCAAAAATGCTCAAAATCCTAACAAAGTCACCCCGTTCTACTGTATATAATAAATAATAGAGCTGAAAAAATAGAGTAATTACTATTTATCATCACTTTTAGTCTTTGTTTTGTGAAAATGTTTTTATCCAAAAGAGAATCGAACCATTAAATCCATGACTTTTAGTTTCAAAAGAATGCTTTTTCAAAGTCAAGGTAAATATTATAGACAAGGAGACCTTTATCTAAGTTAAGTTTCCATGTATTGCGTACAGTAAGAAGAGTTGTTTCACAAGAGCGTCCCAGAAAAAAAAAATTTTTAACAGATGAGTAAAAATATGTTTTTGCATTATTTTGGTGCTTTTTAAAAATCAATTTTTTCTACTGGTCTGTTTTCTGATTAAAAACGTTATTATTATGGTGCATGTTAAATTAATAAGTCTATAGTTTGTATCTAGTTTCTAGTCTCCTTGATGTACTTTTCTTATTTTATTTTTATCATTGTATTCCTATTTTTATTTTTATCTCATTTGAGAATAAAGTAATTTAATAACACAGCCCAGCATGAAAATAAAACTTTTTTTTCGATTTCTTAGCAAACAATACGATAACCTATAGTATAGTATAGTATAGTATAGTATAGCATTTTGATTTCAAATATTTTTGATCCACCATCTTTATCCAAATTGTAAAAATATTTTGGTTCAAATATTTAGCATATTAGGTAAAATCCCTAATTTTGTCCAAAAAAAAATAATTTAAAAGTATGTCAATTTTGACTCGGTATGACAACCTCGTCTCAAAAGAAATTTTTTTTTACAGAGAATTTTGAAAACAAACATTTTTACATAAAAATTATTGACAAAAAAAAATTAAAAAAACGCGTAAAGCTATTATAGAATCTTTAAAAAAATGTTTTTTAGCAATAGTATGAATATTTATTTTATTACAAACAAATATTATTTTTAAAATCTCTACAAAAATAGGCTTTTTTGAGACTCATCTTAACACACTTTTGAATAAATTTTTTGTTTACAATATTAGGGGTTTTACATTAAATCTCTTTACAACTTGAGATGATAATGAAAAATGGCATGTATATTTTAAATCAAAATGAAAAAAGTTTTATGAAAAAAGTTTTCTTGTTTATACAAAAATGAAAAAAAAATTTGTTGTTGGTCTGTGTAGTAATTTAAAGAATTAAATGAAAAGCTGAGACGACCTACTATTAGTGGGGCTATCAGTGAACAAATTTTATTTCAGTAACTTGTTATAAAGACTTTACGTTGTTATAGAGTTCTTTGTTTAATTAAAAAAAAAAATTTTCATAGATGAGTCAGACATATAAGTGTATTAGCCCATCTTATAAAAGTTAGAGGGCTTGACTAGAGTTGGCGTCTGCGGTTACAGTTACCAATTGACTGGAGCTAGCGTTGGCATTTACAAGCTATTACAAATTTATCAAAGTTTCGTATTTGTAATTGTTGACAAACTTCATTTAATTTTTAAAAATCATTTATTTGATAATTAATTGCGATTGATCACGATAAATCATGATTAACTGCGGTCCTTTGTTAGTGGTTATTAAAGAGTTAAAAATGCCTCCCATTAACCAATAATTTAAGTTACTGAGTTTGTGCGAAATATAAAACATTTTTTAAGAAAATATAAAACATTTTTTAAGAAAACATAAAACAAATTTTAAGAAAATATAAAACAAATTTTGAAAAAATATAAAACATTTTTTAAGGAAATATAAAACATTTTTTAAGAAAATATAAAACAAATTTTAAAGGCGAGTTTCCACTCATCGGTTTTTCAACGGGAACGGGATAGGAAAGGAAAAAATAATCACGTGAGCATGCGTAATAAGAGTTTTTATTTGTCCGAAAGAAAACTGCGCATGCTCACGTGATTATTTTTCCGTTCCTTTTCCCTTTCCCGTAGAAAAACGGACGAGTGGAAACTCACCTTAAGAAAATATAAAACAAACTTTTAGAAATATAAAACATTTTTTAATTAAATATAAAACAAATTTTAAGAAAATATAAAACAATTTTAAAGAAAATATAAAACATTTTAGTTGATTTAATAGTGCATTTATGATATATAAAGTTATTTATAAATTTCTAAAGAGCAAAGTGGATTTTTCTGTATAACTATAACTCATTATACCGGTATTCAGTGCGCCTGAATCTTTAAATTGTATTTAAATTTGAGGAGCAAACATGCAAAATAGTGCTTTGTCACAAAAATAAAAAAAAATAATCTATGGTAGTAAATAGTTTCGCTTTTATAAGTTTCATAATATGACCCAGAGATTTTCATTCGATATATTGAAGAAAATATGTTATGAATGAAAATCTCTGCGTTATATAACGAAATTTATAAAAGCGAAACTATTTACTACCATAGATTATTTTATTTATTTTTGCAACAAAATACTGTTAAAAAGTTTAAGATACTTAGCTCAAACTTTTGACCATATTTCAAACTCCTACTTAAAAACATTTTTTAACAAGAATTTCAAACTTCTACTTAAAGGGCTAATACGTTGATTTAAAGTGCACAAAAAATTTTTACTTCTTTTTCTATGCTTTTCAGGCTTTTCTGAAAAAAGCGTTCTCAGAAAGAAGTCCTACAAAAATTAGTTTATTTCTTAAAAATTGAGTATTATGAATATTATTAGTATTATGGACCTTCGGGGTTTTTGAGGCATTGGATACCATGGATTGAGTGAAACATTCAACTTTGCTGTTAATATGATATTTGCATAAAAAAGGGGTGTCAATAAATTGTCATTTTTTAGGAGAAAATATTAGTGGTTTGTCAAGGTAGGAGGGGAGATTTCAAAATCAGTCAAAATTTGCGTGACGTAATTTATAGACGACTCCTAAAAGCTAAAGAATTTTTTTGTTGTTGTTTACTGGTTCACTTCTAGTAAGGCTGCAAGTATTATTTTAAATACAATGCTTTTTATTTTTTAATTTTTGTCTTAGGTGCCCCAAGAAGGCTTTATGGTCTTGTCAAAGAAAAGACCATAAAGCAGGGTTGGAAAAAACCCAGGGTTTTTTAAAAAAAACCCAACCCAAATGGTTTTTTTTGGGTTTTATTGGGTTTTATGGGTTTTTTGGGTTTTTTTAAAAACTGATCAAAATACCAAATTTTTATAAATGTATGAGTACAATATATTTTTTTTTAATTTCATAAACTCACCTCCCTATTGCTCCAATGACCACTTCAGTCAAGGGAGCAACTCATTTTTTTAAAATATTCTGTCTCAATCCTTAACATTACCATTTTTACTAACAAGCAACATTAACAACTAAAATTTTTACACTAATGCACTGTTCGAAGAAATAGATTGAGCGCAGTAATTTCAGCAGAGATAATTTGAACTCCATCTTTCTGATTGCGAGCCAAATGTTTTACTACTATTCTACTAGCACATTTTACCTAGAGTGCAAAAAGGGACTCCATCAATTATAAATGATGTTAATTAATTGCACTAAATTAAAAACATGTTTAAAATATTTTTGACTAAAAAAAAATCATGTTTTACTGGCTCAGTTTTGCAATTGAATCAAAGTAATGCATTATATAGCTCTATTGTGTGTGTTTCTTCACCTTTGTACAACTTGATACTGATGTTCATTTTCAACCTGCTGCTGATAGTCACCCCTGTTGGTGGTACATGTTGTAAACTTATAGCTGATGCAAAATATTTGAAACCTGTCAAAAGACAGATGAGCACGAGTATCATTTTTACCAACAAATCTTGTCCTTGTGAAATGCAAACAATTTTTCAATATGTTCTTTCATTGAATGAGCAAATATGTTGCAAACTTGTACATAACTTAATTTGTTTTATGTTTTAAAGTTGTATGTACTTAATATAGATAAGTCTAGTAAACTGTAGGATTTTTTTTTGCCTGGCAACTTTCCGTTTCTAAACTGTAAATAAAGTTTAATAATTTTTATATATAGCATTTTGCTTGTGGCTTTGTACTGAAATTTGCAGTTAGTAACATAAGCTTTAAAAAATAAAAGATCAAATACCAATATAAAATGACATATATAAAATGCTTGTTTGGAAATATAGACATTTGAGAGGAGAATAAAGATACTAAATAACTAGTAATGTCTTGAAATTTAGTTAATAGAATGATTTTTATTTCCTTTATAAGTATTTAACTAATTTAATGTTTTAATACATATTTGAATAACATTTATAATAACTTGCTATATGTTTCAAAAAAATAATAGATATTCAACTTGCTACAAAAACAGATTAATCGGTTTTGGATATATTCTAAATACCATTATGTATATAAATACAGTGTTTACAAGAGTAATTACAGCATAAAAGTTGCATTTGCTGATAATAAATTTTTATAACTATAAACTTTATAGTTATTATATAGTTTTATAAAATTCATTTCTTTGTTTCAAAAATATGTGTTTTATCATCGTAGTATTTGAATATTCTTTAAATATTTCAACAAAAAATAAAAAATAATAAAGACCCTCAAGCAAAAAATGCCATCTTCAGTCAAATTTTTATAGTCAATTTATGAATCGCCTATTTTCTTAAAAAAGCAATAATGCGCTTAAGTTATTATACGTTACTTTTACCTACATTACTTTTGTAAAACAACAAAAATAGATGTTTTCCGCGTTAGCTTGTCTTTTAAGCTTGGTTTTTTTTGACGAATTTAGTCGGCTAGTCGGGTATTTGACACAATTCAGTCGGGTGAATTTTAGTTTTTAAGGAACTTCTTATTTTATTTAAAAAAAAAAAGTACTTTATACGGATTCCCCTACCCCCTCATTTTTTTAATATTTTGATTTATAAAGTCAAAAGTGACGTTGCAAGGTTGTGACGAGTGAGACTCTTTTTTTCAATATTTTTATTTTAGGTTCCCAAAGATGTTCTTACGGTCTTATCACAAAACACCGTGAAAGAGAATTTGAAAAGAAGTTTACACCCCCTTCCTTACCGATGTTGTAAAACTTGCCCAGGTGTTAAACAACGAATCTCTAGCTTCTGAGGTAAGTACGCTAACGGCTGCGCTACGGCTTAAACGCACTTATTTAATCATAGCAGTGAAATTTATAACCTCAAAATTATTAGTTCTTTTTTTTTGTTTGTTTTTTGTGCAGGTAATCTGCGGTGCTTGAACTAGACCGAGCGATGAAAGCCCACAGAGAAATATGAAAAATTTCTATTGAAAAAACTTTTTATATAAAAGAAGATAATTAATAAAAACAAAGAAAAACAAACAGATGTTCATCATAAACACCGATTTATTTTTAAATAGAAAAAGTTTATACACAATCATAGTCAACAGTAATTTTATCGTTAAAGTATACCTAAAACAAAACAGGACATAAAAGTAAACCGAAATCTTAATTAAATACAAATGCTTACTTTAACATAAATATACATATGTATAGAGATATCTCATTATATTAAAAATAAATAAATATAGAAATATTGGAGGTAGATAAAAAAGAAACAATGTTATTGCTTTTGTGTAATCATAATTTATGTAATGCCCCAATTTTGTAAAAATTATGTAAAAGCAACAATACCTAGTTTATCCCGTCAGATAAATATCATCGCCATTTATGCTTTACCCTGCGAATAATTTTTTTATAGTTTTACAGTTTTCAGTAATTTTTTGGTCAATTTTATAGACATTAACAAATACAATTTTATAGATATTAACAAATACAATTTTATAGATATTAACAAATACGGCAATGAACATCAAAATGCTTAGCAAAAAACAGGATAAAACAGTTTTAGAAAAATTTGAAAACAAATGATCATAGTTGCTAGTTATAGTTATTATAAAAAAACTCAACAAAATACCAAAAAAAGTATTTTTTTAAGGTGGTACATACCTCAAAAAATTCAAAATTTTCAAAATTTAAATTATCCATTTTTCTGGTCAATTTGACGTTGCTGATTCTGAAAATAAGATCAAAATTTGATTAAACAGCATCTAAATTAGTCTAATTTTGCATTTAAAATGTTTATAATTTTCTAGTTCCTTAGCAACGGTCTTAGCAACCAGGGTGATACCTGAATTTATTATATTTCTTATCTATATTTGTGTTCATTCAGTATGGAAATTAACTTAATATCATATAGCTTCTTGTTTTGACTTAAAGACATATTTCCAAGCAACACAACCACGGTATTTCCCACTGATCTCAAAATAATAACTGGATAGCGTATTTTATTGTTTTTCGTAAAAAAAGTTGAAGCCAATTTTGGCCTACCAAGATGGCGTCGGTTAGAACTGCTAGCGCACAGTGTTATAAAATAGGTTCTAACCTTAACTTTCTGACCCGGGAAAACCCTTTGGCGGAATGATAGCCCTTACTATGGGGATCACTTAGATATAAGTATCAAAATCAGATTACAACGTCCTGGCACGTTATTTACATTTGAATTTTCATCCTAGTTAACACAAAACGTGTTTTAAACGTTTAATATACGTATTGATACGTATTAAAACGTATTATAAACGTGTTAAACACGTCTTGCGTTTAATAAAATACTTTATTGATTGCACAAATATGCAATATGAGCGCTTATTTTCCTTTTTGTAGTATTAAAAATCTCCAATTTACATAAATATAAACAAGGAAAGCAAAATAATATATTCTTGAAGTTATACAAGTAACAAACATAAAATATATTGATTGCACAAACATGCGGAATGACAGCTTATTTTGCATTTCTACATACCAAAACTATGATTAGTTTGTAAAAACTGCTTTAATTGATATGAAACGTATTTAATTATGACATAAATTATTTTGGAATAAATTTCTACTTTTGAATTCTGGGTAAAAGCACGTTGTTTTTACTTTACTAATGAGAGCTAAACTGAGCACATCTAATTTTACCGAAAATGCCAAATACTGCTAAAAACCACCAAGAATGCAGGAAATCTGTTTGTTTTCTTTGTTTTAGTAAAAGTCAACGAAAGCTAACATCAAATCTAAAAGAAAGATGTCAGATTATACTGAAAGAGAAAATCAACTTTAATGATGACAAAGTTCCACTTGGAATATGTGAAAAATGTCGCTCTTGTTTAAGAAGGAAGGAAAGTGGAGAAGACATCACACTCCCATCATTGTATAAGTTTGAGACTATAAAACTTCGACCAGAAACTCGAGACTCTCACTGTAACTGCTTGATCTGTTCAATTGGTAAACTGAGACACAATGGTCAAATGAAAATTGAATTCGCACAAAGTTCAGCAACTAGAACACCTTCTTTAACAGTAGAAAAAAGATGCTCAGACTGTTTTTCAATTATTGGTCGAGGATTGCCTCACAACTGCACAAAAGGCACTTTGAGAAATAATCTTGTTGCTGTAGTAACAAAGGATCCTTTGGCATCAGAAAGAATTGCAGCTCTTGTTGTTTCAAATAAAGCTCCTTCTCCACATGGAACTGTTCGATTAAGTCAACTTTATGGTGGAAGAATGCTTCCAGTAACACCAAGTATAAATTTTATATAGTTTTTTATAGTTCAAATTAATGATAAGTTAAATTTTTAACTTTTTGTATTCACTATAGGTTCGTCATCAGCTAGACAACTTTTCTCTTCAAATTCATCAATAAGTGTAAAAGACCTTGCTAAAGTTCAAGCAAACACAGGGCTTTCAAACAATGGCATTAAGAGGTTAGCAGCTACTATTAATCAGTCAACCTCACAACAGATTGTTGAAAAAAATTACGCCATAAAATTTGACAAATTCAGCAAGCAACTTGTACATCATTTCACAAGTTCATTAATTCAAGATCACGCTGGATGTGTGAGGACAGTCATACATTGCAAGAACTTCCATGAGCTTAAAAATGAAATTATAGCCATGAGAAGTACATCAAAAAATCACATTGTAAAGGTTGGAATTGACGGAGGAGGTGGGTTTCTGAAAGTTACCCTGGGAATTATTGAATTAAATCATGAACCTTGCATTCCCCCAGCAAAAATCAACTGCACAAGCAAGGTTTTTAAGGACACTGGTGTAAAACAACAACTAGTCATTGCTGTCTGTGAGGAGCTTCAAGAAAGTTATACTAACGTTTTGCAAGTATTTGAGTTGATTAAATTGAAAGACCAGGAGTTTGTCATGTCCTGTGATCTAAAACTTGCTAATATAATTTGTGGGCTTCAAGCACACTCAAGTGCACATCCCTGCACCTGGTGTGAATCTGGTTCAAAAGAACTTGTAAATCAAGGGAAATTGAGGACTTTTGAATCTCTGGAAAAAAATGTCTCACTCTTCAAGTCAGCTGGTTCCAATATTAGAAAAGCTCGTGACTATAAAAATGTTGTTCATTCTCCAATATTTAAACTACCTGGAGACACTTTGGTTTTGAATTTTCTTCCTCCCATGGAATTGCATCTCTTAATTGGAGTTTTTAATCATCTTTTTGCTGCGCTGCTTCAAGTTTTTCCTCGAGTAACTCTTTGGTCTGATGCATTACACATTAAACAACAACCTTACCATGGTGGACATTTTGCAGGAAATGAGTCCAGAAAGCTGCTACACAATATTGATATTCTTCAATCAATTGCTGAGAAACACTCATGCTATGCAGCCATCCCATTCATTGATGCTTTTCGAAAATTCAATGCGGTAGTATCTGGCTGTTTTGGGTGCAACCTTAATCCAAACTACCCACAAATAATTGAAGCATTCAGAGTGTCTTATCTGGCATTGCAAAATGTGTCTGTAACACCCAAGGTCCATGCAGTATTTTTTCATGTAAAAGATTTCATCGACAGATATGGCCAGGCTCTTGGGCTTTACTCAGAACAGGCAACAGAAGCAATGCATCACAACTTTCAGATACATTGGCAAAGGTACAAAAGACCCAATCATCATCCAGAATACAGTAAGAAGTTGCAATGTTGCATTGTTGACTTCAATACTAAACATTGTTTGTGAAAAGTCATTTTAAGAAGGGATTTGAGAATAAGTTGTTTTTGAATTTGTTCCATTTAAAAGAAACTTTTTTTCTGAATATATTTTATGTTTGTTACTTGTATAACTTCAAGAATATATTATTTTGCTTTCCTTGTTTATATTTATGTAAATTGGAGATTTTTAATACTACAAAAAGGAAAATAAGCGCTCATATTGCATATTTGTGCAATCAATAAAGTATTTTATTAAACGCAAGACGTGTTTAACACGTTTATAATACGTTTTAATACGTATCAATACGTATATTAAACGTTTAAAACACGTTTTGTGTTAACTAGGATGAAAATTCAAATGTAAATAACTTGCCAGGACGTTGTAATCTGATTTTGATACTTATATCTAAGTGATCCCCATAGTAAGGGCTATCATTCCGCCAAAGGGTTTTCCCGGGTCAGAAAGTTAAGGTTAGAACCTATTTTATATCACTGTGAGCGGTTTGAATCGTATAAAAATTCTGACCGAATAAGAAAAGTAAACTATTTTTAAGGAAAATAAGATAGCGAAATAAATTTATTTGATTCCTAATTATTAAAATATTCAGCTAGTATACACTTTTTAAATAAGGTTTATAATTTATGTACCTTTTAGTTCTTAATTACCCAATGCTGTGTGCTAGAAGGTTAATAACAGAACTGTATGGTAAGCAGCAACGTTGTCTACCTACAATCTTTAAAGAATTTTAAAATCATGAGTTTTTTAGGTAGAAACATTATTGTACAAATGCTGTATGAACTATTAGCTGAGAACTGTGAGTACACACAACTCAGAGGTTCCTTCTAGGATTATAAAAGTCATTTTATTATTTAATGCATTAACTTTCTGGACTCAATAATCAGTGAAAATATAAAACAATATTTATATTCCAAAGTAAAAAATAATCTCTCAATGACTTAGAAGTCATTGTCAAACTCAATTGTGAATAATTATTCCTCAAAGTTTGAAGGATAATTATTGACAGTTTAACACATACATAGTATGTAAAGATGTAACATATGTATGTTACATTTTATTAAGAATAAATTCTCTAGAGGAGGTTTAGTTAAACCAAGCAAATGTGTTGTTTTGGTATGCAAAGGGACAGAAAGATGTTTCCAAAGGTTTCTTACATTAACAAATATTACCCTGCCTAATGATATAGGAATTAAAAATGCAAATGCAAGTGTTGTTTTGAGATCAGTTGATTTATCAAAAGTATTCACAGAACTAACTCATCATATGCTTGATTCGTCTTTAACTGATAAGCATTTATTTTCACTGATTAAAATTATTTCAAAAAATTACTCAAAAATAAACTTTCATCACCTACGCAAAGAAGTAAATAACAAATTGACTGGAAAAAAGTTTAGGAAGCAGTTGATTAAATTTGTCTTATTCAAAAATCAATGAAAAAATTTGTTTTTAGTATACCATTTTAGTGCACAGATATGGTAAGTACAAATTTTGGTCAAATTGAGATAAGTACACAGAAAAACTTGTTTTTATTTATAGTTTATCGTGCATAAATATGGTATGTGTACGATAAACAATAAAGAGTCTAATAATTGACAATATGTGGTAAATACAAAAACTCTTCTTATTATAATTACGTGTGCAAATGACAGCTTCTATAGTTTTTAATCTTGCACTTACCACATCTGTGCATTATGCCATCGATATATACACAGTAAACTCGTGATAACTCAAACCTTTAAAAAATTGAACTTCCAGTATTTGCTTGGACACTTAAAGGTTACGACTTATCAGGAGTTATATATGCATATATATAATATACATACAAACATATATATATATATATATATATATATATATATATATATATATATATATATATATATATATATATATATATATATATATATATACACACTTAAATGTACTAGGTGAGTATATTTATGTGTGTGAATATAGTTAGTATATTTATTTGTATTAAAATAAAAATCTATTAAAATTAAACTAAAATAATTAATGATAACAAACTCTAGAAGGAACCTCTGAGTTGTGTGTACTCACAGAGCTCAGCTAATAGTTCATGCAGCATATGTACATTACAAGTATCTGTTTAAAAAATTTTTTTTAAGACTGATTCATATTAAACAGATACTAAGCTGCCTATCATGCAGTTGTGTTATTAACCTTCTAGCACACAGCATAAGATAATTAAGAACTAAAAGGTACATAAATTGGTTATTAAATTTTTTTGAAGGATTTTATTTATCTTATAGTAAAATATATTTATACATATTTATAAAATATATATATATATATATTTCATAATATGAATATTATTTTTCCTAATATATATATTATATATATATATTAGGATAAATAATATTTATATTAAGCAATGTATATATATATTTTTTATAAAATATGTATAAATATATTATATATATATATATATATATATATATATATATATATATATATATATATATATATATATATATATATATATATATATATATATATATATATATATATATATAGATATAGATATATATATATATATATATATATATATATATATATATATATATATATATATATATATATATATATATATATATATATATATATATATATATATATATATATATATATATATATATATATATATATATAATATATATATATAATATATATATATAATATATATATATATATATATATATACATATATATATATATATATATATATATATATATATAAATATGCCTACTTTTATTTTTAAAAATTGTTTTTTTTTTAAAAAAAAACTTATTTGTGTTTAAAATTATATCTTTATCGATTACGCCTAAGGTTTTTGGATTTTTTTAAACGGTACTTCTATAACCGTTGGCAAACTACGCCGCCATCTTGGTAGGCCAAAACTGGCTTCAAAAATTTTCCCAAATGCGCTATCCAGTTATTATTTTGAGATCAGTGGGTATTTCCATATATTTACTAGATGCATGTAATGCAAATTAGGTTAAGTTCTCATTATTAAATAAAACCAAATTTTTTTACTTATATAAGTAATTATAATTATAATTATAATTATAATGGGCTCAAATAGCTGGGCATTATAATTATAATGGGCTCAAATAGCAGAAAACTGAAATCAAAAGCTAGAAAAAGAAAATTTTATGGTAACAGATTCACTCAAAACCAAATAAATTCTGGTTTGTCCAAAGAAACAAACGAAATAAGTATATCTGCATCAGCTAAAAAAATAAAAATAAATGACGAGTTCAAGTATGAATTAGATACAAACTGCAATCAAAATATTGAATGCTATGTTTTTTTTAACACTCAAATCTTTAAGAACATTGTTGATAAAGTTGGTTTTTGTCCAATATGTCTTGGAAAGTTAGATTTTAATCATAATATTAAAAAAAAAGGATTATTACATCTTTTTATACCTACTTGCTGTACCTGTGAATGGAAACACGAGTTTTATACCTCCAAAAAAGTTTCAAGTTTTAACAAAAACAATGGTGGTAAGGGATATGATATTAACTATCCCTCTGTTTTAGCATTTCGTGAAATTGGAAAATGTCATTTAGCTATCAAACGTTTTAGTTATTGTATGAACATGTCTCAACCAATGTCTTTAAAATGTTACAATGTTATAAATGAGAAACTCCACAGATCTTATGTTTCAGAGTCTGAAAAATCAATGAAAAAGGCAGCAGAAGAATGTTCAGTAAATGATAGTTCTTCTATAAAAAATGTTACTGCAAGTTTTGATGGATCATGGCAGCGTCGTGGTTTCAGCTCCATGAATGGAGTCGTTACTGCTATTTCAAACGGTAAGTGTATAGATGTCGAGACATTAACAAAAAGTTGTAAACAGTGCCAATATTGGAAATGCAAAAAAGGCACTTCTGAATATGACTGTTGGAAAGCAGAGTACAACTGCTCTATTAATCATAAGGAAAGTTCTTGTTCAATGGAAACTGCTGGTGTACTAAAAATCTTTCAAAGATCCATTACTACCAGAAAACTTAGATATTTATTTTATCTGGGTGATGGCGACAGTAAATCATTTCTTGAAGTTGTTAAAAATAACCCTTATCCTGGATTAACAATAAAGAAACAAGAGTGTGTTGGCCATGTCCAGAAAAGAATGGGAACAGGTTTACGTGCGATAAAAGTTTCTCTCAAAGGAAAAATTCTTTCTGATGGAAAAACAATATCAGGAAAAAACCGTCTTACTAATCAAGTCATAAACACTTCAGAACTATTATGGTTGTGCTATTAGAGCTAATAAAAGAAACTTATATAGCATGAAAAAGGCAGTAGCTGCAATTATTTATCACTGTTCAGAAAATACTTCGCCTGAAGAACGTCATAAGTATTGTCCATTGAATTCATGGTGTAAATACAAGACTGCCATTGAAAATAAAAATAATCAATATAAAAGTAAAGTAAATATTCCTGCTGCTATTGCAGATGAAATCAAAAATATTTTTAGTTATAAGGATTTAGGCAATGATACTTTACTTGAAGCTTGTCTTGTCGGTGAAACACAAAACGTTAATGACACTTTGCATAGTTTAGTATGGAAACGGTGCCCCAAAGAGGTTTTTGTAGAAAAGTTATTAATTGATATAGCTGTAGCATCTGCAGTGCTATGTTTCAATGAAGGTGGTTATGGTTTGTTAAGTGTTTATCATAGCTTTGGTTTGCAACCTGGTCAATTTTGTATATACAGCTTACATAAATATGATATAGAACGCTTAAAAAGTTCTAAAAAAAAATCAAGTGATATTGTTAAAAAACAAAGAAAAAAGCTCAGAACAATAAAAAAATGTGTTGATGATAAAAATATTGCTACAGAAGGTGAAATGTATGCTTCTGGAACTTTTTAGACTTAATAGTAATTGTTTAGATTAGTTTTTATTCTTTTAACGAGTTTTTCTCAGATTCACATTTTTTTAACTTTGATCCTAAATAACTTAAAATCTGTTTTGTCAAACTTATTGAAATTTTCAGGATTTATTCTTTACATAAAAGTCTATGTTCTGAACTAAAAAAATATTATTTTTTTTTTTTGTTTACTTATTTTTATATGCATTTTTGTACTTCTTTTTGGGGGAAATTACTTTAACTATTGTTATTGAGCAAATAAAAGTTATTCTTTGGATTTATTAATATATTTTTAGTTCAGAACATGCATTGCATCATTATTGATTAGTTTGCAAAGTTTTTTGTAAATATCTTCTTGCAATAAAAAGATATATTGGAACAAAAAAATTGCATAATTAGGGTATTTGCATAATTATTTTTAAGAATAATTATTTTTTGTAATTTATTTTTTATTTTTTTAATTTGTAATTTTATTTTTGTCAAAATAAATCAAAAAGAGATAACTAAGAAACAATATTTTATGATATAATTTTTTGAGGTATGTACCACCTTAAAGGAGGC